CACTCGGGACAAGTCCTCTGGGCGAGTCCAGCGACATCAAATATCAATAAAATATATTTAAAGTTAGGTTTAATTCTAAATTAAGTTAAAATGCTGATTTTAATGTTACACCTAATATTCTAAAACATTAAATAAAATAATATTTATGTCCAAATACATTTCACCCATTTTCTAGCCAAAACAAGATAAAAAAAATGTTGCAATGAGACTCACTTTATATATTAATTTTTGCAATGAAGATTAGAATAAAAAATGTGTTTTTATAATAGTTTCTAGACATTTCATTGGTTATAGGCCACACTCCATACTAAAATTCATTAAAACAATTAGGCTAAAAGTCATACATCAGTACGAGGTAAAATTTCATCAAATAGTTAAGTAATAAGCCTTACACCAATATAACTGAGGCCATAATCAATATCAAAGTTTATCAAAATAGGTAATTCACAAGCCTAACATTAGTATAGCTATGGCCAAACTCAAGTTGAAGATTATTAAAACAGCTTAGTAAATAAGGATGTAACTGTATTTCTGGATGAAATGAGCAAAAGAATAACAATGATGTATTAATAAACTGATGCAATGGTAAAATTTGCTACCAGTAATGCCATCATCTGTTTCATTATCAGGCCCATTGTTGATGCTTGCTGTTTCACTGTTCATCACGGTCAGTTTCTGCTGGAGTTGCTCTATTTCCGAGTCCTTGGAATCTAACTCCATTTGCAATTTGTTCTTAACTTGAGTTTCTTCTATGAGAGTTGCTTGAAGTTCAGCTAACTCCTTCTGGAATCTTGTTACCATCTGGCTGTATTTCTCTCTTTCCTGAAGTATGTTTCAAAAGGTTGTTTTTAAGATAAGCCTTACTTCCACATTTCACAAGAATTAGGTAATAAAGGGGTCGAATAATTCTAAAAAACTATTAATTAGAGTATATTAAAGTAATAAAATAATTCTGAAACACAAAATTTCTTTTATAAAAATTATTTTAATGCTTTGAAAAATATATATATTTTACTGAAAATGTCTTAAAATTAAAAAATGGTGAGGATTTCAACCTAGATTATGTTATTTGTTTGTTACTTTTAGTTCTTTCTTTCATTGGAATGAGAATTGGATATATTATTATTATGAAAAGTTAGCTTAATTGTAACCTACAAGAGTAAGGTCCTGCTGCAATTTTCGACACTCTTTCTCTTTTCGTCGAAGGTCGGCTGCATTGGCCTTGTTCTTCATTTTGCCTGAGAAGTCCTTTCTGTTCACAATTTCAGCCAATTTGTTAACAGCCTGCAGATAAAGTATAGAAATATCATTGAATTGCTTATTCTTACACATACTCAATGATTATACAAGATTGTTCTTGACCACGTGGGAAGATGTGTCCTTCGGGTACATTATGTAAGACTGCTCCAGTCCAAAACTACATACTTTGGATATGAAGTACTTCTTGCTAATCTCTCACAATTGTCACTTTAATGGGTCATTTCACGTCATAACAGCCCCGATCAGAATTGACAATTTTAATCAGTTAGTTATACGTATTGATGTAATAGTTTTGATAATTAGTGTTAAGGTTCTCAGGATTACTCTCTTTAACAAGTATCATGAATCAAAGTAAACTGTTTATTCAAGAAAATAAAACCATCGCAGACCTGTGTAATTGGCCAGATTTGTGGTTTGTGTTTTGATAAAATACAGAGCTTGTACATAGACACAAGTTGGGGCTTACACTTAGATAAAAATTGGGGCTCGATATTAGCTAAATACTTAAGTAATACTTCAGAGTATGACTGAACTGGAGATGAAGTCATGTGACTGTTTCCTAAGTATACAATGGAGCTGATTAATTGCACATCATCTTATGAATACATTAAGAGTTACATGTTATCTTCATTACCTCATTACTCTATAATATTATAACTGGTAAAGTTAAAGAACACCAATGAATTTTTTTTATGTGACAAACTTCTATATAGATAGCTTTGCTGTAAAATATATTAAATACTACATTTCTCAATAAGAATACTTATTACTTATATATTAAAGCTAGAATACAGTTATTATTGCCAATAATATATCTAGTACACTGGCTTTCACCACTATTTGTACAGCTAGTACACTGGCTTTCACCACCACAATGTGAATGAATTTTTGTATACAATACAGAATCTTTCAATAAGAAAATAAACCTGTTGTTTCAGCATCTTTTCAGTATTTAGCTGTCTCTGAAGTTGGTCAAGTTTCCCATCTGAACCTTGAAACTGGTTACGTGTGTTCATCAACTCTATAAAGGAAAAAGGTCGTTTTTCTTTTTTTTTTACTAGGCAAAACAATTTCTTCAAATGTCAGTTAATTTTGTATAACATACAGTTTACTATGAAGTTGAGAAAATCTGAAATACATAAATCACATTTTAAACAATACAGATGTGTCATTAAGCCTTGATCCCAAATTTCTAATTCATATAATTAATTAGTAACTTATTCAATAATAAAATTATTATTTTATGTATATCTTGTCTGTATTCTTAGTTCCTATAACTACTTTAATGGACTACTTGAATTTAACATTAAAAATTCTTACCTTCTAGAGCATTCTTAAGCTTGTTGTTAAGGTCTTCATGTTCCCTTGAAATTTGTTCTACATTTGTTCTGTACTCCACCTCTTTGTCTTTGGTCTAGAAAAACAGTACAATATGAACTCATTAAACACAAACATAAATAACTGAATGACTCATTGGCACAACTGTTCTATCAAGATTTAATATTGCTTTCTGTGAAACATTAATCTCTATATTCTAACCTGTACTAGTGTTACTTTTTGTGAAAGGTTAATCAATATATCCTACCCTACACCTGTTTTTATGAAGATTTCAAAACTACCAAACATTAACGGTTTTTTACACAAACAATCTACAAATACTTTTCAGAGGTGTGCATGTTACAAATGGATTTTAAATCATAACTTAATAGTTGAAGGTGTAAAACAGTTACAAATACACAAATAAACTGGTGTACACATTTAGAAAATACCAATTAAAGATAGTTTATAAAGAAGCAAATAAAATGAAAAGAAAGCTACCTAGAATAAAAGCAAAGGTGATTAAGTGTCATTCAATGTTTACAGCCCAAATAAAGTATGCATAACTTAGAATCTCATGTCCTAAAATCAGAAGATTCTAAACAAAGCCAATCATCTCAAAATGTAATTCTAGTCAATATATATATATATATATATATATATATATATATACCTTACAGCAGAAATTATAATATCTTTGTTCAAAAGATCAGTCTGACATCTGGTAAACACAAATATATATCTTACAGCAGAAATTATAATATCCTTATTTGAAAGATCAGTCTGATGCCTGGTCAACATTTCCTTGATTTCAATTTCTTTCATCATCTTGTCTTTCTCCAGATCAGAGATAGTTTCCTCCGCAATTGTGCGAGCCAGTGCTTCAGATTCAGCTCGGACATTGGCTAGTTCCAGTTGGTGTAACAGCCTGTCCCTACAAAAAGATATACAACTGTGTCATCCTACACTTCTAACAGATACTACAGAAAAGACTTCAGTAATAAATTATCTAACAGATTGAATATTTATATGTAAATTTAGAGTCTTTGAAAGTCCTTTTATATATATTTATGCTTACCTTCTTACGAACCAAACCTAATATTTCTATGCTACTTTGAATCTTATGATAACTGATAATAATAAAAACAAAGCATCATCACTCACCTATCTTCTTGAAGATCCTGAACAGCACGTTCTTTCTCTTCTAAATCTTCTTTCTTTTCTTTGACTTGAGTCTTATACAATGTCTATGAAGGAGATAAAATAATATAATAATAATAAACAATTTAACAGGTTACCAGAATGATAAATGATGTGTTTGACAGGTTACAGAATGATAAATGATGTGTTTGACAGGTTACCAGAATGATAAATGATGTGTTTGACAGTTAACAGAATGATAAATGATGTGTTTGACAAGTTAACAGAATGATAAATGATGTGTTTGACAGGTTAACAGAATGATAAATGATGTGTTTGACAGGTTACAAGAATGATAAATGATGTGTTTGACAGGTTACAAGAATGATAAATGATGTGTTTGACAGGTTACCAGAATGATAAATGATGTGTTTGACAGGTTACCAGAATGATAAATGATGTGTTTAACAGGTTACCAGAATGATAAATATGTGTTTGACAGGTTACCAGAATGATAAATGATGTGTTTGACAGGTTACCAGAACTATAAATGATATGTTTGACAGGTTACCAGAATGATAAATAATGTGTTTGACAGGTTACCAGAATGATAAATAATGTGTTTAACAGATTACCAGAATGATAAATGATGTGTTTGACAGGTTAACAGAATGATAAATGATGTGTTTAACAGGTTACCAGAATGATAAATGATGTGTTTGACAGGTTAACAGAATGATAAATGATGTGCTTGACAGGTTAACAGACTAATAAATGATGTGTTTGACAGGTTACCAGAACTATAATTGATGTGTTTGACAGGTTACCAGAATGATAAATGATGTGCTTGACAGGTTAACAGACTAATAAATGATGTGTTTGACAGGTTACCAGAATGATAAATGATGTATTTCATAGATCATGAAACTGATAAATGACAAGTTATGTGTTTAACAGATTACGAAACTGATAAATGATAAGCAATGTGTTTAACAGATTACTAAGCCCATGGGTGATTTATTTAAGAGATTACCAGACATATGAATGATGTTTTTATACAGTTCTTACAGAGAAGTACTGTTCAGCTTCAAGTTGATCTTGAAGTTCTTTCATCTGAAAGTCGGCTGCACTCCTGGCTCTAACAACAAAATATAAGAAATTAATAGGTCGCTCAAATATAAACACATAGCACCAACATCAAGTTTTATTTAGTTCACTAAACTAACAATGCTGAAGTGACTCTTTCTTGTGATATTAAACCAATTACAAGGTTAATAAAAACAGGCATTAAATTATAAAATTTAAGGCTAACCTAATGTTTTAGGAAATTTTTAAATTTAAACTAAGTACTTTTCTAACAGAGCTGATGATAAAAGTATTTGACCCAATGAGCATACTGTTTTTAAACCAAGTTCAATTGGTCTGATACAGGTAGCTGAAAGAACGAGTTTACTGCTTCCAAACGAAGTTCTTGTCTAATTGGCCTGATTCTGGAAGCAATATGACCCAATGAGTTTTTTCTCAAATAGAGTATTCCCCTAACAGGCCTTATACAGCAAGCTGAACCAAGTAATTTACTGATTTTAAACTGAGGACGTTTTTAACAGGCCTCATGAAGACATCTGCTCCAATGAGTTTATTATTTTTAAAATGAGGGCTTTTCTAACAGGCCTGATGCAGAAAGAAGTTTAGTGTTACAAACTTACACTCTGGTTTCTTTTAGTTCTTCTTGTAGAGTTTTCTTAACCTCCCGTAGCTCAGCCAGCTCTTTAATCTGTTGATTTTCCCGGTTCTTAGTGAGATTTAGGTCAGTAAGTTGAGCCGACATCTCAGCTTGCATTGCATTACGTTTCTGAGCCTCATCTTCCAGCTGCACAGTTAGAGCCTTAACCTGGTATGTTCATGAAGTAAAAGAAATAATAAATACATAAACATACAAAAATTAAGAGAACAAACAAGTATCTATTTATGGCTGGAGACGGCTTGAATGGGTAATGAAGAAAAACTTTAATATAA